ATGAAGTCTTGCATGGACTAATTACAAAGCTGGAAACGAAGGCGGAGGAAGTTCTGAAATCAAGTCAAACACGAAATGACATCTGCAAAGTTCTATATTTCATTTTCAGCTGTGATAGTAACGACGGAGAAATTCACTTAGCATGATATTCATAAAAAGGCGCGAAAGCTAGTTTTGAGACCTCGTTTCTAGGAGCAGCCCACGGTGCTGTAAGTCACAACTAGTTGCCAGCGAGAAATTCAGGAAAACAAAAAGTGTCTAACTAAAAAAATATATAAGCCATTTTTGAACATAAAAACGTTATATAAGCCTTTTTTGACCTTAAAAACGTTTTGCCAGGGACAAAATTATTTTAATAAGGAAGTATGCGCMGCATTTGCTTGTGAGATTGTCAACAATGTAGCTCAAAATCCCTTTCCCAGGAAAACATTCGTACAAGAACAGYTATTTAGAAGAACAGACCCCGTTGGCTTCTCGCATTCGTTTCCGTATTTCCTGATTAGAAGTTATCAATAATCAGACTCATTTTTGCGTGCTCGTGTATAGAGCGGATTTCGTATGACTGTGCAAAAAAGGTACGCTCGCGCTGTGACCGTATCGTGCCGTAGCGGTGATGTATTGTTTTAACAATACATAAAAAACCTTTATTTTTATTTGGAATCCTAGAAGGCGAGGTTCCGTCCGTGACCGTGACGTGCCGTGTCCGTGTTGTGATCCGTGCCTTTGCATGCACAGTCATACGAAATCCGCTCTAAAGWAACACGTTTTTGAAGGAGAAAGATTATTTGCAACTCAGTCAAAAACACGCTTGCACGAGAGACTGAACACTAATTAAAGAAAGTGCTGTAACCTGGATTGCTCAATAAAATCAGGAGACAGAAAACTTATAAATACAAGGTAGAAGGACTAAAGCTTCCTGAAAATGTTGAGTTTTTACATATATCAAGGATTTTTTTATAGTAAAATGGAAAGAAGTAGGCCCAATTCAGTTTCAGTGACTTTGCTCAATATAATAGTATATATGCACATCATATTTTTCATACTAAAATTAGATAGAAATTATAAAATTTTCTGAAAAAACGACTTGAATGCTTAGTTTAGATCGAATGGTTTCCGTGACCCCTATTTTAAAGCCAGAAAAAAGTGCGAAAAACAATAAATTGATATGACATCATATTAACGTCAGATGACGTCACAGTGTCAATTTGGTATGTAAAGACCCCTCCCCGCCAATGAAAATCCTGAATACGCCCCTGTAGTGCTTTTCCTTGCCGGTTTACAGCAAGATTGTATTGAAATCTATCGTTATTTGTTAGTTTTAGAATTTTAGTATGGTATATTGAATATGACATAGAGGATGTTACAACATTTTTTGAAAGCGAGAAATATAGGCATTTCATAGAAAATTATATGCATAAAAGTTTTTATTCCATTACAATTTTTGTAATAATACATTAGCTATTTGAGTAATATGCGATTGTATAACAATTGCTGGACAGTTTTTGAATAATGATATTTGAATAAATCTTAATCTCGGTTTATGCCTATCCGAATATAGTTTTATCCCTTGATTTTTTTTTCTGATTCAGATTTTTATCCACAGAAATTAATTATAATTCGACTAAATTAATTTACATACACATCAATGAACATTGAGTTAAAAAAAAAATGCTCACCACGCCTTACGCTTAATTGTATCTATTTTGATAAAAAAATCTGAATGTCAATATCACTTAGTTTTCAAGTAACAGTGTCTTCAGAATTAATTTAGAGACTCAACTTTGTCCCATTAAAATACTTCTCTAGAAAAATTGAAGAAAAACTGTGTAGTGTAACCTTTTTTTATTGTGACCATATGACGTGCTCCAACTGATTACATGTACTACATA